TATTTTGACCCATTGTCTTTTATATTTTACCTTGCCCATTTTTTAAGATTTATTTATTTATTTGAAAGTCAGAGTTACACAGAGAGAGGAGAGGCAGAGAGAGAGAGAGAGAGGTTCTCCATCCGATGGTTCACTCCCCAGATGGCCGCAACAGCTGGAGCTGCGCCAATCTGAAGCCAAGAACCAGGAGCCTCCTCCGGGTCCCCCACGTGGGTGCAGGGGTCCAAGGACCTAGGCCATCTTCTACTGTTTTCCCAGGCCATAGCAGAGAGCTGGATCAGAAGCGGAGCATCCAGGACTTGAACCAGCACCCATATGGGACGCTGGTCCTTCGGGCCAGGGCGTTAACCCACTGCGCCACAGTGCTGGCCCCTTAGCTTACCTTTTGCACTCTTGAGTGAATATTTTAAGTCCGTGTGCATCCCAAGTTTTCTGAATTGACCTTTTGAACTCTCTGGCATGATCTGTCAGCATATCAAGAAAGTAGTCATCCCCAATTAGTGTCTCAATCCACTGAAGCCTTCTTGTGTTTTTATATTTATCAGTTGTTTTGTAAACAATTTTATAAAATAAGAGTAAAATGATAATGAAAAGGCAGTTTCATCTGAAAATGCAATAATTTAAATGTAGCAACCCCAAATATGTAGCACATATTCTTCTTGTTTGGAGTGTATCCATCTTGAAAATACTGATTCTAGATTTCAGATATATTGCTAGTAGATTCTAGCTTCTTATTACTTCTGGTTCTTCTTTTTTTTAAGTTTTTATTTATTTATTTGAGAGGTAGAAAGAGAGAGAGAGAGAGAGAGAGGTTTTCCATCCACTGGTTCACTCCCCAGATGGCTGCAATGTCTGGAGCTGAGTGGCCAGGAGCCAGGAGCTTCTTCCAGGTCTCCCACATGGGTGCAGAGGCCCAAGCTTTTGGGCCATCATCTACTACCCTCCTAGGCCATAGCAGAGAGCTGGACTGGAAGAGGAGCAGCCGGGATATAACCGGCGCCCATATGGGATGCCCACACTGCAGGCAGAGGATTAACCTTTTGCGGCACAGAGCCGCCCCGTGGTTCTTACATTTGGGTCATAATGATGCAATACTTGGATCATGTTTTTGAAACCTTTGGCTCATAATTTTGTGGAAGAGGATAGCTATCTCCTTTTCTCCGTAATTCAACCGTTTTCATTTTTAGATTTATAAATTAGATCACTTGATGAATTCTTTTATTTCTTTATCATCTGTATCCTTCCAGTTATCTTTTATATCTACCTTCAGCATTTTCCACTTAAAAACTATATCAAGATTTGGACACAAATATTGTAAAAAAAAATGAAAGGATATGGTCACTTTTTAGTAGCATTGCAATATGGCTTAGATTCTTATTGCAATATATTGTTTGAAATCCTTCCTGTTGAATATCTAACTAGACAAGAATATCCTAGTTCCTTTTTGTCTTTGGAAATACCATTCACTCATCAGTTCATGACCTGGGAATAGATTTGTCTAGTATATTGTCATCTGTAGACCTATGGTCTGAAATTTTTGCTTGTATGACCAATTTATTAGTAGCGTCTAGAGTTCATCTCTGTACTTTTCTGACTTATCTCAAATTGTGAACTATCTTTCTCTGCTAATTTTTTCCTCATTGCCATCTTGGGAGGAAAATTTAAAAATTCTAGATTCTGAACTGTGTTCACCAAAAGCTAAAAGTAGACAACAAATGTAGTATCCCCAGTCATTTATAAAATATTGGAAGATGATGCAATGCTTTGGGCAATACAATATAAAAATAAAACAGTAATGTAAGAATGATGATTTATTTTGGTATTGCATTATCTTTTTGGTGATCTCATCATTCTTTTTCTTATTTTAGTTTTCTTTAAAAAAAGCATAGTCAGGGCTAGTGTTGTGGCATGCTGGGTTAAGCTGCTATTTGTGAGGCTGGCATTCCATATCAGAGTACCGATTAAATCCTGGCTACTCCATTTCCAACCCAACTTCCTGCTAAATAATGCCCCTGGGAAGACAGCAGATGGTGGCCTAAGTACTTGGGCCCCTGGCACCCATGTGGAAGGTGAGGATGGAGTTCCTGGCTTCAGCCTGGCTATTGCAGCCATATGGGTGAGTGAACCAGTGAATGGAAGATTGTCTCTGTCTCTGTCTCTCTCTCTCTCTCTGTCTCTTTGACCCACTCTCTGTCTCTTTGCTCTCATTTTCTGCTTTTCAAGTAAATAAATACATCTTTTTTTTTTTCTAAAAAAAAAGACATAGTTGTCAATAACTCAAGTTGTAGAAAAAATAAATCAAATCCAATATGTACCACTAAATTTATAATAGGGTACAATGGAACCATTTTGTAATTCCAAGATAAAATGACTTTTTTTTTTTCTATTTTTAAAAGAAGTATGATTTGTTTTTGTTCTTAGGAAGACTCTAAAAGGAATAAAATTATAAACTATCAATCCTCTCAAATAATCAGGAATTGCTCCAAAAAGAAAGTAAAAAAACCTAAAATTGAGTTTAATGGACCCTCAGATTACACCAAGGGGCTGAGTTGACCAGAAATATGTAATGATTATATTAATGAGGCTTTTATTATGAAGTTGATAGAGTGTGAATGACACTGCATTTATTTTAGCCTTTCTCTACCACACTTTAGCTTGCAGGAGTTTGTTCTAGCCATGACTTTCTGTGCCCACCTTTACTATGTCTGTGCAGCATGGACAAAAAGAGTTAAATGAACTTCTTTCTCAGCTAGTGCTGCTTCCTCCTGTTCATTTTGTTAGCAAGAGCCCTGCTTTATGTCGTGTCTGTCTCCTCTAAGCCTCTCTTCTCTATCAAAGCCCTTAGACTGCTAGCTGTTGAAGTGAAGTGTGTCTCCACTGAGCACAGGGCACTGCCAGTGTTCCAGCTGGGAAGCATCTCTAAGAGGTGTGTATGCCAAGCGCGATATCGTTGTGTGCAGGCATTGCAGGAGTGTGCCAAACCCAGGGATAAGCTGCCAGGACAAATGCCACGTTGACATGACATTTACAAGTCTGGAATTTGGAAAAGGACTGGCAGTGGCACACCCCTTAGCTACCTCATTTAGGATGGCAGCAACTGGGCCAACTTTTGATTTTTCAGACTTAGAAAATCAGAGGAAGTAATATATGGATTTTGAAACTATCACCACAAGTTTTTCTAGGAAATGATATATCCTGTTAGTTTGTTCCGGGGTGCAGGATAAACCATGATGGTTAAGAGTGAAGATTCTGAAACCAAATCTAGACTTGAATGAGGGCCCATCATTTATTGTGTAATCTCTGTGATCCCCAAGCAAGCTTAAGTCCTAGTTTTCCATTTTTAAAATGAGGATAATGTCATTTTCCTCATAAGGTTAGTTGGTGGATTAATTAATATATTTAAAATCATAAGCGCTTTTTATATTCTTCAGAAACTTGTGTGAGAGGGGCCAGAGCCGTGGCTCACTTGGTTATTCCTCCACCTGTGGTGCTGGCATCCCATATTGGGCGCCAGGTTCTAGTCCCGGTTGCTCCTCTTCCAGGCCAGCTCTCTGCTGTGGCCCTGGGAAGGCAGTGGAGGATGGCCCAAGTGCTTGGGCCCTGCACCCGCATGGGAGACCAGGAGGAAGCACCTGGCTCCTGGCTTTGGATCAGCGTAGCTCTGGCTGTAGCAGCCATTTTGGGGGTGAACCAATGGAAGGAAGACCTTTCTCTTCTGTCTCTGTCTCTCTCTGTCAAATAAATTTTAAAAAAAAAAAGGAAACTTGTATGACAAATTCAAGTTTTCAGTTGTTTTCGTATTTCAGTAATAAGTAGATAGATTATAATTTGCCAGGGGACGTGTTGTCACAATGTGAACTTATGTGTAGACTCTCTGAGTTGAGCATTCCTGGAAAACTGTACATAGGCACCCAGGACACAGTTTCTTTCCCTTTCTAGGAAAATTCAGAGCTGGAGTCAGGGGTGTGTGAATATTGGGCATTTGTACAGTTTCTTAGATGCAGAAACCATTTGGGTGCTGGTTCAAGTCCTGGCTGCTACTCTTCTGATCATCTCTCTGCTATGGCCTGGGAAAGCAGAGGAAGATGGCCCAAGTGTTTGGGCCCCTGCACCTGTGTGGGAGACCCGAAAGAGGCTCCTGGCTCCTGGCTCCTGGCTTTGGATTGGCCTAGCACTAGCCATTGCAGCCATTTGGGGAGTGAACCAGTGGATAGAAGACCTTTCCCTCTGTCTCTCCTTTTCTCTGTCTGTAAATAAATCAATAATAAAAAAAATCAATAATCTCTGAAATCAATAAATCTTAAAAAAACCCCAACTATTTGTTAAGAATTCTTTTCTGCCGGCGCCGCGGCTCAATAGGCTAATCCTCCACCTTGCGGCGCCAGCACACCGGGTTCTAGTCCCATTGGGGGCGCCGGATTCTGTCCCGGTTGCCCCTCTTCCAGGCCAGCCCTCTGCTATGGCCCGGGAGTGCAGTGGAGGATGGCCCAAGTCCTTGGGCCCCTGCACCCATGTGAGATACCTGGAAGAAACTCCTGGTTCCTGGCTTCGGATTGGCACAGCTCCAGCCATTGCGGTCATCTGGGGAGTGAACCAGTGGATGGAAGACCTCTCTTTCTGTCTCTACCTCTCTCTGTAACTGTCTTTCAAATAAATAAAATAAATATTTAAAAAAAAAAAAAAGAATTTCTTTCTTGAGTAGCAGTTGTTTGATTAACTTGGAACCTTTGTATGGTACACTCTAAGGCAAAATGAAGAACTGTAGCTATTCTGAAGGATCTGCTTACTGGTGGTCATTAGGAAGATTCTTTTTGACTTGGGGACCAAGATAATTGTTCTTGATTAAGTCTTTTATCAGGCTTTTCTGTGCTACTTGTTGCAAAACATAATCCTCACCACAGCTCTTTATTTCCTTTAATGATGTTCAATGCTGATTTACTAAGGTAAAATCTCCCAAATGATAACATTCTTTCTTTTCTCTTTCATCCCATGTTTTTCAGATCTTCAAAGCTGCTGCGGGCTTTCTATGTCCCCTTTCTATCTGACCAGTATACAGTGTATGCAAACTACACCATCCTGAAACCGCGGAAAGCAAAGCAAATCAGAAAGAAAAGTGGAGGTTAGCAACACCTGTGGCCCCAAAGGACACCTGTCTTGCTAACTAGTGGTTGCTCTGACCTGACCCCCTCCAACTCATTGCCTGTACCATTTGTAATAAACATTTTCTGACACGAATACCGGAATCTGGGTGCTTGGGGCCTCTCAGAGTCTATTTCAAAGTCTGTTCAAAGTCATGGTCACTTTGCCTGTGTCTCTGTTCTGCTTGTAAACTTCTTGCAGCTGAGCAGAGAAAGGCCCTAAAGCATGGGTAGGTACTGCTCCACATCTTACTGTTTTTCTTCTGTTCAATTATTTACTAGACCGGAGACGAGCAGAACCAACTTACAGGAAGAATTGAAAACCCCTGGACTGGATGGCAGTGTTCAGCTGTTCTCCACTCTGGCTTGGCATGTGAGAACGGGCGAGCCTCTCTCAGGCCATATGGGCTTCTCCACCAAAGCTGTTTGGCAGCTCCTAGCAGACCTTCTTGTTCAATCCTAGTGCTGAAAATGAGCACAGCTTAGTTGCCAACCCACATGTCCTTTTTCCCCTCCAGCAAGACTAAGCTTCTGTAAAGCACTCCACAGGACAAGGACCCTGTCCTGGAGCTATCTCAGGAAAACGGCGACCATTTGCGGAACTGTGACCTGATTTTATTATATCTGATGCCTCTGATTTCCATTTTATTTCCTTAACAACTAAAAGAAACCACATGGTAGTTTTTTGTTTTCCATTTTAGCATGCTATTTCTCGAATTCTAGACTCCTTGTATAAAAGTATCAACAGACCAAAGTATAACTGTGTATGGCATACTTGGAGAAAGTTAATTCCATCAACTGGTAGATGTAGATGGCATCACATTTTTAACTTATGCATTCTGAGGCTATTTCTGAGGATACTGGGAATTTCCTTTCTTAAAGCAACCCTAGTGAAAAGGACCCGTGTATGTTTGCAGCACTTATTTTTTAGTTCTATCTATTGCAAGGCACACCCTGCATGGGGCACTCCTAATCAAATAGGCAATGATAAAGACCTAATTAAAGTGTCATAAGCATATACTATTACTTTACAAACAGTATTTCATAATTTACAAGGCACTTTTATCGCATCTTGTTTGATCCTCACGACCACAGTATGAGGTAGACAAGACAGGCGATTTTACCCCCATTTTACAGATGGGGAAATGGAGACTAGGAGGGGGAGGTAAAGTGATTGCCCAAAGTCACCCAGCCAGGGAGCAGTGGGGGCAAGACCAGAACCTGGGTTGCCTAACTTCTCATCTCTTGCTGTGCCATATTTCCCCACTCAACTGTGAAAATATTCGAAAGGATGACAAGGGTGACCAGAGACCTGACTGATGTGTAGCTTTCTATGTGAAGGAAGAATCCTACCTGTTTCTCTTTGAGTTCTTGGAGCGTCCAGCCTACCCTGCGGTGCTGTGAGATGCTGCCTGGCCTGGGGCAGGAAAGCAGTGCTCGTGCCGGGAAGTTATGATCCTTTGGAGCCACACAGGATCCAAATATCAATACTATTCCTATCATCAGTCTGGGGTCACATCATAGGTGCCTTATTCCCCTAAGGGTGACTGTTTCTGGTGTCTGACAATAGGATGAGTTTATTTTTCAGAGTTTCCATCTTTAATTTTTCAAAGGACTCTCCAAAAGGAAGTGATTCTGAGAGAGGAGACAAGAAGAGGTGACTAGTGAGCACATTAAAAGGCCCCTCTGTGGGATCCCCTGTAAAAGCTGAAGTCCTGGTCTAGACAGTGTCAGACGGTAACTGGAGAGAGCAGATAGCTCAGGGGCCCACTTGCTTTAAAGATCTGTGACATTTAAATCCCAATTCTTGATTTCTGTTTTCCAAGGCATATATTGACAAATAGGATCTGGGCACAGGACAGAATTGTAGCTGAAGCACCTTGCTTTACTTGTAGTAGTAGTGTTCTGTTCTTCACGGGAACTAAGGCATTCTACTTTTTGCAGGGATAACTTAGAGAGTCTAGTAATGGAAGGCAGTGGCTTTTTCCTTATCAGATTACTCAAAATACAATGCTGATCTATTTCATCATCTCGCTTGTTTGAAAAAGGGGTGGTGGGAGGAGGCCCTCTGAACAAGAACTATAATAGAGCACAATAAAAGGTGAGGATTGGTGCAGGAATCCTTTGGATATATCAGCTCCTGTCCCTTTTAAAACCTGATTCTGATTTTCTGTTGTATGTATCTCTTTAGTGAGGGTATAATCCACTGCAAAACACTGTCAAGTGCCATAAGTAAGGGGAACAAAAATGATTTTTGTTGTGAAGGTATCTGTCATGTGATATTCTATAAACACATTAAAGAATCTCCATCTCTTAGCAATAGAGGGTGGTCAGCATTGCCTGGGGGAAGAGTTCCAAAACACGTAGTTGGAGTAGCATTTCTCCTTCAAAGAATCGTGATGCAGCGTCAGCTGACTGCTGTTCTTGCTGTAAGGAAAAAGTTCCTAAGGTAAGGTACTCACGTCTCTGTAGATTGTTGGGTATCAAGGCATGAGGGCCTATAGACTACTCATAACAGCCTTTGATCCTGACTGAATAGGGAGTTAGTATGCTTGGCACATCCAGTCTTCTCTGATGTCTAGCTCTAAAGCAGCTTTATCTGACCCCAAATCTTGTGACACTGAGTACCATTACTGAACCAGTCTGTGTGGAAGGCATCTATTATCAAAAGTTACCTCTCACCTAGTAGGTGTCATCTGACAAGAAAGAAGATAGGTCATTTTGATCTCCTAGGGTAATCACAGAAGACTGCAGCCTATGGTCTTTACTAATGAATTCAAGTTTAGAAAGAGACCTCTTGTTTTAAAACACCTTGGTTCCTTTTTTTTTTGATGAAAACTGATTTATAATACTGATTTTATGTTGTCAACATTCAATGATTCAGTGGTAAAATATGCTAGAGGACAATACTACAAATAAATTGAACAGATCTTTTTGAAAAGTGAAATATACTTTTATTCTTAGGAAATTTTATGTATTACATATGTAGTTTTATATTTTGTATTGTGTAAACTTTATTTTAAAAGACCATCTAAGTGATTCATATTTACAACTTGACAAAGCACTGATATTTGAACACCTTGGTTCTTTATCCCAACTATTAATTTGGGTAATTTTTGCTAGTTTGGATTTCTGAGAAAGAGCCTTGAAAATCTCATGTGATTCTGCAGCATGAGATATGGGGTGACTGTCTGGGCAAGGTACCAATGACAATCCTTTACTTTTTTGCATTTCCTGGGATTTTTTTTTTTAAATAAGAATTCACTGTGACTCTGTAGTCTTCTGGTCAGTGTCAGACAGCTCTGCTTTTAATTTGGTGGATTTTATTTTCTCTGAGGAGGGAAAAGAGGCACAATTTAATCTTTTCCTCCACAGGCATATTAAAACTCATGTGCTAATCTGTTTTTATGTTCCTACATTAAATGCCTTGGGTAAATGGATAAATGGACATGTGCTCAATTTTAATTTTTTTTTCCAACAGAAAGATCAGACTTCCATATGCCACTGTTGGATTTCAGAAGTTCTCTGGTGTATCTGTAAATCTGAATGTTGCCATTCATTTTTCCAGTTTATATGACCATGAGATTCATACTACAGATGAAATCAGGAAGCAGTGCAGCGTTGAAGCAAGAGTATTATCCGATTCCTTTGTCTTCCTGATCCTTGTACTTTATTTCCTCTGTCAATGTTTACATTACATACTTACTGTATTTTCTGTGAAAGAAAAAGTTAAATAAATCTTGGCAGTTTGATTTTCCTCTTCCTAAGGTCATGTTTTCTGTTTTGATTTTGGCTTTTAGTTTTTAAATCTTTGCTAGGAATTGGAAACTAAAGGAGCTCAGTTCTTTCTCACCTCCACCTGCACCCCTGCCCTCCAGCCCCTTCAGTGTTGACCTGTCTTCCATAGGTGACGTAGCCTGGAGTGTTTATATAGAAAATTTTAGGAAGAAGTCTGGCAAACCCTGTGAAGGTTAGTTTTGTTTTACCTATGGAAAAGCCACACATGGTAGGAATTACTAAATATTTGAATGTTGTACTTAAAGGAGATGAAGTTTCTAGATCCATCATCCATTTTTGGGTTGAGGATCCTGAGTCTTTGTTGGGGGTTATAAATGAATTCCGACATAGTTCCTGGACCTTCTGCCTTCTGCCCAACAACTTCTGGTAGCCTTCTGACTGGATCCTTGGTTATCATTTTCTTCCCCTAAAACCCAACATGCCCTTGGAACTTGGTTTGATTTGTTTCTCCTAAGTAGTTTTAAGGAAGAGTGCTTTTATTAATGCAATTCCAGGAGGGAAAAGTGCACAGTCTGAATTTCTTTTCCCTCGTCTAGAATGGCAGACTTCCCCCTGTTTCTTACTGTACTTTTGGAGTGGAGACTCCCTCCTCTAGAAGCCTGTCTAGACCTGAGATTCCTGTGAGTACTTCTTTTCTGAGCTCTCCTGAGAACCTAGTGTCTCTTTACCAATGGCATAGAACCTTGTAAGCTTGTCTCCCAAGAACATTGTTGGCATGTCTAGGGACATAGCATACACACTTTTATATTCCCGGTGCTCACTGTGGCTCCCTGAACACTTTTAGTACTGGGCATATTTACTGACAAAGAATAAAAAAGTAGACAGAAACCTGGAACTGAGATACAGTGGTTCTCTCTATTTGGCAAGGGTTTTTAGACTACAGAATATATGTCCTAAGTCCTGCAGTACTCAAAGGGCAATTTGGAAGATGTGAATGAAGCTCAATATGTGAATATTTTAGCAGTTTTGAAGTACATGGAGCTCTGCATGAACGCTGATTTTCTTAGGCTAATTTCTAAAAAGAGAGATAGGGTGACTTTGTTGAGTATTTCTATTATTACTTGATTTTGAAGAGTCAGACCTAGCCCAGAAGAGAGTGAAAATGGGTCACCTGTCCTCCAGGTATGAGGGGATGCTCAGTTCCTGCCAGCTGCACGTCCTGCTGGGAAAAGTCTGACTACAAGATGACTAGGTAGTGGTAAGTTCAGATTGAGTAATATTAGGTAGTAAGAGATGTTTCAAAACCGACAGTTGAGAGAGAAAAAACAAACCCAAAGCTGTTTTGGCATAGACCTGATATTTAAACAATTTTTTTATTTGAAAGGCATAGTTAGACGAAGAGGCAAAGAGAGAGAGCACGGTCTTCCCATCCACTGGTTCACTCCCTAATTGGCCACAAAGGCTGGAACTGCACCAATACGAAGCCAGGAGCTTCTTCTGGATCTCCCACGTGGGTGCAGGGGCCCAAGGACTTGGGCAATCTGATACTGCTTTCCCTGGCCGTAATAGAGAGCTGGATCAAAAGTGGAGCAGCCAGAACTCAAACCGGCGCCCATACGGGATGCTGGTGCTGCAGGCCAGCGCTTTAACCCGCTGTGCCACGACTCCAGCCTCTAAGCAAAATTTAACCAACAAATATGATAGAAGAGAGAAAGTGAGCTTAGGCATGAGAGATTGCGGAATTGTGACAAGGACAAGGGATTTCTTGTTGTTCTTTGTAGAATAAATAGCTGGTGTTTAAATTAAAAAGAGATTTTAAATATTTACTTAAGTGAGCTTTTTTTTTTTTTAATTTAAATGAATCTTCAGGTATCTAAGTTTTTCAAGGTGGTAGGAGTTTCTATTAATTTTGTTTCTAGTTTCTGACCTCATTCTGTTATTACATGCCTGGAAACAAAAGTATAAACAGGATGACTTCTTATGGTCCAAAGGCAGATGATTGTGTGTGATTTAAAACAAATTTCTCTTGACTCTGGCTTTCCTGAGACCTGCAACTATGAATTCCACACCAAACTTACCTTGTTGTGGCTCTTTGAATGTCATGTGACTACAGAGATGGTATTTGGCAGCTGGCAGACTTGGCCATTGGTCTCTTTTTTTTTTTTTTTTTTTTTTTTTGGACAGGCAGAGTGGACAGTGAGAGAGAGACAGAGAGAAAGGTCTTCCTTTGCTGTTGGTTCACCCTCCAATGGCCACTGCGGACAGTGCACCGCGCTGATCCGAAGCCAGGAACCAGTGCTTCTCCTGGTCTCCCATGCGGGTGCAGGACCCAAGAACTTGAGCCATCCTCCACTGCCTTCCCGGGCCACAGCAGAGAGCTGGACTGGAAGAGGGGCAACTGGGACAGAATCCGGTGCCCCAACCGGGACTAGAACCCGGTGTGCCGGTGCCGCAGGCGGAGGATTAGCCTAGTGAGCCGTGGTGCTGGCCCCATTGGTCATTTTAACTAATGAATCCTAAGTTGGCAGATGAGCCGGGCAAGCTGTTTGGTTGCTTTGCTCACAGCTTCAGCAGGATCGTACTCAGTGCTGTAGAAATTGTAACCTTATGTAAAACCAGGGCTACAGAAAATAGTCAACCAGGGCTACAGAAAGTAGTCATCTGGAGACCCTTTAAAAATTTGCCACTATCTGGATGACCCCCCCGGGACCCAGGGTGGTCCCAGGTACCGTCTTTTTTCTCAGAAATTCCCTAGGCTGCTTTCTTGATACGGAGCTAGAGTTGACCACTACTGTACTTGATAAAGACTGAGGCAACAATAACATCGTAGATGAAAGATAGTTAAGCAGGCAAAATGTTTTATTATTTTTTAAAAGATTTTATTTATTTGAGAGGTAGACTTACAGACAAGAGGGAGAGATGGAAAAAGTCTTCCATCCACTGATTCACTCCCCAAATGGCCACCATGATGGAGTTGCGCCGATCCAAAGCTGGGAGCCAGGAGACTCCTCTCTGTCTCCCACTTGGGTGCAGGGGCCTAAGCACTTGGGCCATCCTCTACTGTTTTCCCAGGCCATAGCAGAGAGCTGAATTGGAAGAGGAGCAGCCAGGACACAAACTGGCGCCCATATGGGATGCTGGCACTGCAGGTGAAGGCTTAGCCAACAACACCATGGCACCGGTCCCTTTGGTGATCACCCAGGCTTCCATGTAGGTCTCCTCTCCTCCACAGACCCTTTTCCCTACTTTGGGCTCCCAGACCATGCTTACCCTGTCTCTCCTGCCCTCTGGGCCCTGCTTTCCTGGAAACATTGAACTAATACGGTCCTGAAGTACACTAATGGACGTTAATAATTTACCATCGTTCTCTTCCCATTGATCCTCTCATCTCAGTACACTGCATGATAACACATCTGGCAAAAAAGAAGGGATGGCTGTAATTTTGGCAATTTCAGCCCTATTCAGTGCAGTTTTATTGATTGATTAGGTGGGAGGAGAGAGTTGGAGCAGTAGGAGCCAGCCTTCAGGAAGACTGCCTGCCTGGCCTTCAGGTGCAACCCTATTGTTTGGCACTGCCTGGGCCACTCAGGTAAGAACCTGTGACTGTCTTGAGTAGGACAGAGGGAACAAATGTGCGTGGCTGTTAAACCCTTGTGCTCAGGACACACCGGGGGAACCGGCTCTGTGCAGGTGTTGCGCTCTGTTGTTTGAGGCATGTACAGCGAAGGCATTCTTTCCCTTTGTTATTGTGCCTCTGCTCTTCTGCAGAGAACTGCTCCGGAGCTGCTGCCACCCCTCCTGGGCATGAGCACAAAGGTTAATCTCGGTGTGTTCACTCAACCAACAAGAAGATACCTTGTACCATTCAGGAGTTGGTCTTGCCCCTTCTTGTTTCCCTATTAATAGTGTGTCTCTGAGCCTCCCTGGTATTTCTCATCATGTAGACCCAGGTGTTTTCTTGCCAGTGAAATGCTAGTGGAGATACATAAAAGAAGCTGGCTGGCTGACCTTTCAGTGCTACGTTTATAAAAGAATCTTATGGATTTTTTTTTAAAACTCAGCCCTTTCCTTGGAACTTTTTCTACATTTGTATTCTAAAAGTCTGTGTTTACTGGAGCTATTCTAAAAAATAGCATCAAAGTTTAAATCTTTTGCCACTTTTTGTTTTTGTATCACTGACAATTTTAAGTAACCTGGTCTGCGGTACCACTAGAAAGCAGTCCCTAGCGTCCAGCAGAGGGCATCCTCTTCTCACTAAACGTCTCAAAGCTCCTTTTCTCCCCAGCAATTTAATTCATTTCAACATTTGCTGTATTCTTGGTATAATTCCAGTGTGAGTTGAAATATCCGAGCTTTTTGTTTTTTTAAGATTTAGTTGAATGTCAGAGTGATGGGATGGGGGCGGAATGGGGGTTTCCTTTCATCAGCTGGTTCACTCCTCAAATGGCTGCAATAGCAGGGGCTGGGCCAGGCAGAAGCCAGGAACCCAACCCTGGTCTTTCACATGGGTAGCAAGGGCCCAAGTACTTTGGCCATCTTCTCTTGCCCTTACAGGCACATTAGTAGGAAGATGGATTGGAAGCAGAGCCAGGGAGACTTGAACTGGCACTCCAGTATGGGATCCTGGTGTCACAACTGGTGGCTTCTCCCTCTGCACCACAGCACTAGCCCTTGAGTTGCATTTCTTTAAAATCTCTCTTCCTATGTTGTGCTCTTATGTTGATATAATTGCAAAAATTTCCTGGAGAAAACCATGTCCTTAATAGAGGATGAATAGTCGATCCCACCAGTGATTCCCTGATCCACAGTAAATTCTTATCAATTAATTTCAGTTTTGTTTGGCATCACCTTGATTGTTTTCATTTGCAGTAAGTTATTACCAGGTTGACAGGAGGAAGTAAGTGCTCTTAGGAGCATTTGTCAGCCATTTGCCCATTTTCAGGTATGAGCAAACCACATCACATACACAGCTCTAACTTCACCCTGCTAACGTACTGATATTGTCAGAGGAGCC